TTAACTCGAGAATCCTTTGTCAATCATGGCCTGCTTGTAGAGAAGTTGCCACTCCAGTCGATTTCTCACCTTCCTAACTTCTTTCTGTCTTCTGAGTGATTGGTATAGCTTGGTCCATATTTTTTCATCCCACCATCTAATCGTAATATTTTTATTTCTGTGCATATTGATTGTTGTGATCAGGTGTAATGTGTACTTTCTTTTGCTATAATTTTAAATAGTTTCTATACAGATTTGGTTGAAAGCTTTTCTAAAATTCATAAATGCATTTATACATTTCTACAATAAATTCTCGTAATTTTTCGATATTTTGTTCTACAATGAAACATAAACATTGTGTTTAGTAGATCTCCAGTAAATGTATTGTTATTCTCCTTAATTTGCTTCTGCAATATGTTTTATTATAATGTTAATACTTAATACTAGTTTGCATTCAATATAGTGACACTTCTTCACTTTCCTTATTGTTGCAGTCATCTCTTTTTAACAGTGATATAACTTCAGCTGTTGTTTCAGGTATCTTGGATTAAAAACCAACATTGTTTAATCAGATTTATCATTCTTAAGTGTAGAAAAAAGCTTAAAGATTGTAAAAGTTCCATTTTATATGGTCATTTCCATATGAAGTTTGTTTTTCTAAGCACTCTTCTGGAGGTGCTAGGTTTATACCAAAGATCTCATACCGCTGCAATTCACTGTTGATCTTTAATAATAAAATATTTAAAATGTAAGATCTGTGTGAACTTAAGGACTTAATGATAACGATAACATGTAATAATTTTGAAGAAGAGATACTGTAGTCTTTGATATTTTGGATAAAAGATTATGTAGATATAATATAGAGTGTTGGTTATAAATACTATAGAGAATCTAGAACCAATAGTGATGTTCCTGGACTCTATGATGATTAACGTAAATTTAAATGTAGAAAAATGATGCTATAATAAAATATATTGCATGTATATGTTACGGTTAACATCCGAAATTAGGTTAAACTTAATATTACCCAATTAATATCGAGAATCACCAGTCTAGTTGGTTAATATCCTAATATAGAACGATCTTTGCCCTTCGTTCAGACATCAATCAGCTAATCTCAACATTAACACAAGTGTCTTTTTAAAGTAAAATTTAAGTATTCAATGTGTCCAATGAATTTTAAAGACATCCCCTCAGGTGTTTCCAACTTCTACAGCTGTTGTGCTAAATTTAAAGAAAATAATAAAAATGATTTAAGGTGTCTAATATGCTGCCGAATGGAATCTATTATTCAAAATATATTTTAAGCAAAAGATGATTTGCTTCAGCTAGCAAAAAAATTAAACTAAATTCCAATAAGTTATTACCGACTGCAAAAATTGGTGATACTGTTAGATTACCTATTCCTGATGCTGATAGAGAACAAGCTGACGCAAGAAATATATTAAGCGTTGTTGTGACACTTGAAGATGATTCTTCTTCTTTAAGTTCCACTCCTATCGGAGATTGGAAATCATTCTGGCAATTGAATGAATTGAAGATGATACATATTACAAAATCGGGACAGAAAGGGGTACATTACAACAGATATTTACAAGAAATCAGTTCAGTGTATGTCAGGCTCCCATCATTGCTACCGAAAAAGTTTCAGAAAAAGTTTGCCATGTTTTGAATAAATAGTAGGTATTTTTTAAACAATTGACAACTTTGTATTATTTTCTAATACAATATTTGGATTAAAGTTTAGGATAAGGAACATTTATTACTCAAATGAATGAACTGGAATTGTAACTGTAATGAATCCTGAAAGGCATTGCATTTTTAACCTACAAATGGAACTTTATAGTAAGGTCCATTCGCTCAACTTGGACATATTTTGACAGATTCATAGCTGGAAACCTACAACACAAAACTTTCCTAGCTCGCAGTATTAACAGCTTAAATAAATTTTTATTAGACTTCTTTCATTAAAAAAAAAAAAAAAATTGGTATAAACAGTGGAAGCGTATACTAACCGATAAAATTTTGGGTAGTATATATTTAAAAAATATATTTCAGTTGTTATAATTTAACATAACTATTTATTATATGGTGCACATAAATAAATATTGATTGTCAGTAATTAGTAAAGTTCTATTTTATTTACTATTAATATTGGCTATGAGTATGTGTGCTTAGTTGTATAGTAATTTCCAGCCACTTTTAGTCTGTCAAAAAGTAACTACTTAACTTCACAAAAAAATAATTACTAAATTGACTAGACAGTTTGGACTTGGAATAGCGAACCAACTATATGGATGTTTGTTATTTGCTGAAACAAATTTTAACCTTTCTTCAACTATAAGACAAATTGGACTATTTCAGAAAATGTTCTCTTGTGGATTGCCATAGAAATTGCAAACTTAGGATTTCTTGCTTAAATAATCATCAATAAGGAATAATATTTTTCCATTTGATGGTTTTCATTTTTTTTTACTGGTTTACTGCTATTTGTATACAAAATGGGGACCCTGGCCAGTTTATTACTCTTTCGTATTCTTCAAATAGTTGTACTATATGCAAGTCATTTCAAAGCAATTCTGTATATTTTTTATAAGAAATATTATATTTCGGCACTTCTAACTTAAAATAATCAGATTATTATTTAGTCCTGTAGTCCTAGTGCATATTAGTCATAAAAAATAAATATGTAATAAACAGTTACTCAGAAATGGCCACTTCAGTAAGAAATACACTTGAATTCAGTAATGAATGGCCACTTGCAAATATAATTTTAGTAGGCATTTCCTTGTAAAATTATTAAGACCATTTTGTAAGAGACAATAAAGCCATCATGCTTTCAGACATTAAGAAATGCAGTATATTGAGTATTGTCTCCCTAAGACAATACTCAAGTGGTAATAATAATTAATTATTTCTGTAACCTAACTCTAACTAGATATATTGAGGAAAACGAAAAGTTTAATAAATTTTTCACTCAATCTAGTTGGATTATATTTTAATATACTTTTTATACCTCAATATTTGTTAATAACAATAAGGGTTCTGTAAATTTCTATAAAAAATTTATGAATGTTTACATATTTTTAGTTCAGTAGAAGTACAATCTCACCAATCTGGCACTTCAATAGACCTACATATTCAATAATTTGGCACTGTGCTTTTCCCTCTCTTCTCCATCTGAACCTTGCATGGAAAAAGCTATGGCCCACAATTAATGCTGTATCACAAGAAACAGAAAAATGTGATACTGAAGATAATCTACCTATTGCTGATTGATTTCAAAATTGATCAGAAGGATTCAGTGCAAGCAAAGAAGATTTAACACTTCTTAGTTTGAAGATATTGCAGAAACAGAGCAAATCATAACTGATGAGGAAATATGTGAAGCAGTTCAAAAAGAAGAAAGCGGCCTAGTAGAAATATTGGAGCAGCTAACTACTATGACTGTAAAAGTAAAACCAGGTACATTTAATTGCTTCAATACCTCAATTACTACTCAATTCTGTATATTCTAAGTATACACCAGAATCACATAGAAAGAACATACACCAATTTTAGTTCTAAAAATTGAAAAATTAATTACAGAAAATAATGAAAAATCAATTAAAATCACTCTAAAAAATAATGTTATATTAAATGAATGAAATGTACTGTTATTATAAGGTCATCATTGACATTTGAATGGACTTAATATTTAGGAGGAATAATATGTTTCAGTATACATTTTTTAAAAGAGATCTTGTCAAGCTTAAAATAATCTTGGTAGTTTATAATAGAATAATTATAGCATTAAATTTATTTCATTAGGTGAGTAAAAGCATTAAAACTAGAAACATTATAATATTTTATTGTAATAATAGTCTCCTAGTTTTTATTTTTCCCTTTATTTGGTATTATTACTATAAAATTTGTACAATTCTAATGACAGAGATGAAATTGTTTTAGTTTTGTTGATTTCTTCTGGATATTTGATTAAAAAGTTAGAAAGAGAGCTCTCTCTCTATCTTTCCTGTTTCCCATTTATATATTATAATATGTACTGACGGATATAAAAGATATCTTTCATACTCAATACTCATTATTAGTGCTACATGGAGTTTCCGAAAAACACTGAATTGTTTGTAAATAAAACTGCCTCCATTTAAAAATAACCCTTGTTTCAAAAGTATGTATTCCTCATTTGTAAGTATTACAGAATTGACGACTATATTCGAGATTACTGGTTTACAACATGCTAAATCAAATCAATCAGTTTACATTCATCGACCTCGCCTTTTGGAATTTTGCCGCCACGTTTAATAGTAGGAGGTCGGCTTGAAGTCAGGAATGTTAATTATATTTAAAAAATTACAACTGCTACTATCATCCGAGCATTCATACACTTTCTCTTGATAAACGAATCTCGTCTCAGTGGCTTGAAAATAAACTTTAAAAAACGTAATGTACCAAATACCTATTAAATCTGCAATTCGATTTTGTGAAAACGCGAATTCCACAACTCTGAAAATTTCACAAGATTCTTAATTTGCATTTCATTTGGTGACGCAAAACGTACATATTCACGGAAAGATTGTAAATATTTTTAGACACAACAATCTAATATTTATCTTTTCGATTACACATATTTTCTTCGAGGCGGCAGCACTAGTGCTTGTGTTTTTGAATATTAAATACCAAGAGATTTTTAAATAACTACAACACTATAGCAATTACTCTACTTTATGACCCTTAAGTTCAGTTACTTATTGACTTTGAATAATTTAAACACTTTTTAAAAATAAACAAAAAGTATTCAGTTAACTTTTACAATGAGGTGAATTCTTGGGTAGGTTTGGAATGTCATTTAATTAAAATATTTGTGTCATTGGTTTTTTAACCCAAAAGTAAGTAATGACTGATATGTATAGCAATTATCAGGAGAAAAATATATAAGATTATGATAAAAATGAAATTCTGAAAATGTCATTCAACTTTTTAACCAGCAAAGAGATAGTGCAATGGAATGCGACTATTCCTACCTGTCTCTGGGGTCAATCCACGTAGTTTTCTTTGATATGTGGTCGATGAAATAAATTTTACCATCATAGTCCCGTCCGTAATCCCAACCGTCGGGCAATGGAATCTCACCATTTCGTTTTCTCGGCATAATTCACGAATTAATCCATTCAATCCACAATAACTAGCACACACAACACTGACTACGCGGCCATGTTGAATACCACATTATCAGCTTTACAACGTTGCCGTAGCGGTATAACCTCAAATCTTTGAATCGACATACTATTGCGCTCGAGTAGGCAAGAATTTTGCGGTTACAATTATATAGTACAAATAATAATTTATCATCTTTTAGAACTGCGAATTAAATAATTTTAGGCGATTATGATTTTATTAGGATGTCGATTTAACAAACGTTTCAAATTACAAACATTATCGGCATTAAAAATAAAACTGACAATTTTATTAATAAGCTTGTTTATAACTATTATCATAAAGATAAAAACGCACGAGTATGAAGGCTTTTAGTTTGGAATGTATGCTTAATTTTATCGATTACAAATAATAAATATAAATATGCGAACTATCAAAGATCACTTATGTGCGTCAGTATTTTTAATTGATACATATTTTAAAATTCTTAGAGGTCGGAATGTACGTATTTTCATTATCAGCTAGAAACTAGAAACCCTTTAAACATTATTCAATAGACCTTACTATAAAACTAGTTGGTTTATCTTTCGATGGGGGTATACCATCTATCTCATTTTATTATTCACCAAACAAAGAATAATTGGGAGAATTGAGAACACGAAATCGAAATAACATCTGGAATTCAGCTCTGGGTGGAGAAACTGTCAAAGAGGCGAATGAGGTCAAATACCCCTAAACTAGGAATATTAATAGATAAGAATTCCATGGAACATGTCGAAGGATATAGACGAAATCATGAAGTATGGAACCCAAACAGATGTACCTACCAGCTATATATAACTGTAATTATACCTGTGATTATGCGTGGTGATCTACATAAATGCCATCAAAAATACCACCAAAGAAAAGTTGGGCTTCAACAACAAGCAAGCTTAATCATAACAGGACCGATGTCGACTACCTCAACTGTCACCTTGGATTTCATGCTTGATCTCTCTCCATTACATGTAGGTATAGACATCAATATGCATCCGTAGGTACGGATGCACATCAATTGAACTATTCAGAGCAGCAGCATCTAAGATCAGAATAGCCATGATGATTGCCAACCTCCGTCGCGGAGATGGCACGTGAAGAAGAAGATAGATGGAGAAGAAAGTGAAGGTAGGAGCATACAAAAGACGGATAAGACGCCAAGAGAAACGGCGAAAGGATGCCGGGATAAAATATGGAGAGATAAAGAAAATGGAAAACGAATAAAACGAATCTCGCAATTTCAGATCAATGCTGCTATATAGATGGCTCTAAAACGGATAAAGGAACTGGAGTATACAAAGAGAAACCAAGGCTAAGCCTTGATGTACAATAAGCCTGCAGTATATATACAAGGTTCTTGAACTCCTAAGTGGAGCATAGAGCTTCAGTGAAAATGGGCTATCGGGTTCTATTTTGCGGTAAGGCCTTCACATTATTCCAAGATTTTCATTGACCTCTTATCTCGTCCATGATTGATCTTCTCCAAGTTTGTACTGGCTGACCTCTTTTCTTCTTCCGTGTAGATTCAACTCTATTGCAATCTTTACAATACTGGAATTATTTTTTCTGAGAGTATGACCAATCCAACCCCACTTTCTGGACTTTAATCGATGGTCTACTCTTTTTTGTTGGGTCAGATGTAGTAGATCTTCGTTTTTGATGATGTTACGCCAGAAAATACGAACAATTCATTGTAGACATTTATTAATAAAGACCTGCAGTTTATCTGTAAGGGTTTTTGTCACTTTCCAAGTTGCACATCCGTAGAGTAGAACAGACATGACATTTGATTGGAATATGCGGTTCTTTGTCCTTGGAATATACTCGCCAGATCTCCAAACAGAATTGAGCCTGCTTGTTGAGCTATATTGTCCTCTGTACCTCCGCTTTCTGTTATGACACTCCAAAATACGTAAAGTTTTCCACATTTTCAATCTGCATGGTGTTGATAGTAAACTGTAACTGATAGTAAAAGTAAGCCTGCATTACGTCCGGTTTATAACAAACGGCTTTCAGGAAAAAGACTAGGCCTCAATGAAAGCCTAGGTAATCACTCCACTATCTTTAGTAATAAGTATAAGCAGAAATTTATGCTATGTGCCTGCAGGAACTCATAAAGCTGAAATGTAGGGACAGGTATATAAAAATTATATCGAATAGACACGCGGCATTAACGACACTGGAATGGCACTAACTCCAAGTTAGTTTGGAACTGTCTTTAGAATCTAATTCGGATCTGAGAAAGTATCACAGGGGAGAGACAAAATAAACATTCATAGTCCCAGAACCTTTCGTTGGCATAGCAAGAAGCACAGTCAAAAGAACGATATCGGATTGAGCGGAACAGCTGAAACGTAACTACTGGTGCGAATAAGCGATTCTTAAAGATTCGAAGGCTTTTATGCATTAACGTTGGAAAAAGAGATCGAAACATCTACTATCATAGATATGAATAATAATTATCTGCGAATTATCGTAAGTCTCTATCGCAGATTTTTTCAGGCTGAAGACGAGACGACGGAACACTTTCTGTGCAACTGCCCAGGGTTGGATAGGAGAAGACTCAATATATTTGCGCATTATCAAATCATCGAGCGGAAGGGTGGTTAAGCTCCCACTCATTTTGAACCTAACCTAACATAGGACGTGTACACAATGGAAGTATCACCTATAAATTAAAAAAGTGGATAATAAAATTATAAAAATGATAATATGTGAATAATACAAGGAGATTACAAATCATGAGAATTCACTGTTACTGAAATCTTAAGGCCATAAAATATACTAATATACGAAAAACAGGAAGAATAGAGGATTAGAAGTAAAAGGTAAACAAAGAAGATCTTTTAAATAACTCATTTCATATTTATTTCCTTCTAATGAAATTTCAGTGATTCATATATCAGTTATCGTCTCATTCCTCTAGTATTCCAGCGGTTTTCTCTTTTTCTCGTAATAATCTTTCTTGAAATTTGATTGTTTCTCCTGTTTTATTTTTATATGGAGAATTTCTACAATACGATAAGAAGTAAAACGGAAGATAACCTAACCTTAAAACTTTTTTTGCTATAACACGATTTATTTACTGTTTTATTATAACTTCTTCTTCTTCTTACGGTGCCTATCCGTTCCGGATGTTGGCGATCAACATGGCTATCCTAACTTTGCTTGCTGCTATTCTGAATAGTCCGATTGTCGATGTATTAAACCACTTTTTCAGGTTTTGAAGCCAAGATATTCTTCTTCTCCGTTGTCCTCTCTTTACAAATACCTTGCCCTGAAGAATGAGTTGTAACAAGCCGTATCTCTATTTATTCCTCATAACATGGCCAAGATATTCTAGTTTGCGCTCTTTTCTGGTGTTAATAATCTCGCATTCCTTGCCTGTTCTACGTAGGACCTCAACATTAGTCACAAGATCCACCCATGAAATTCTTAAAATACGTCTGTAACACCACATCTCGAATGTCTCGAGTTTTCTTAAAGAAGCTTCGGAAAGTGTCCAGGCCTCTACTCCGTATAATAACGTAGAAAATACATAGCATCCAATGAGAGAGATTTTGGTAGCAAGTGGTAAATCGTGACTTCATTATGAACGCTGATCTCGCTATGCGTTGTTTTATTATAATTATGCTATATATTGTAACATGCTACTTAAAGTTAAAGTCAAGCGTAGCATGGTTTACTTCCATCAATTTTAATAAGTCAAAAGTTCATGTATAAATTTGGGGTCTCATTGTTTTTTTTTATACACTTCTTAATTTATTTCGCTTAGACACGTGAACATTTTTCCCTTTAAAAGGGAAAATTTTACATTTGCACTTTTAAGTACCTCTCAACTGTATGTTGTCATTCGAACGAAATATTTTTTAAATCCCATTTAGATGAAGATGATCTATTGATCGAAAGTACTTGGGCAAGATTTAATTAATCACTGTGTTCGATAGTTGCCTTGTATACTATCAAAGTTTAAATCCCATTTATTTTGTGTTCTCTATATCTGTCCCACAGTTTTAATTTTAGATAACACCTCCGTATTCACGATTTTTAAACTTTTATAAATCCGTATCCTTATCACATGTTTAATAAGCCTTTTTCATATAAAATAGACCATTTTTGGTTTTTCATTTTATTTACATAACCACTTAATTAATCTGGTTTTGAAAACATGATTCATGTGAATTGTAATTTAATTTCTGAATTAGGGCATGGAAGAATTATAGTTTTAGTTGAAGAACGCTATTCACAGAAGTTCGTGGCGAAAAGAGTAGTTGTTTCTCAGAGTGATGTCTCACGGCTATGGATTTGGTTTCTGGAGACAAATTCGATACAGAATAGAGGTGGCTCTGGTAGATCTCGAGACCCCAATGAACAACAGAATACATATTTCAGAATTTCCATTCGGAGAAATTCTTCTATGTCTGTACCAGCTCTTCAAAGAGACTTCAGGCATGCTACAAGAATTTTAGAGTCAGGTTTGATGAGTCGTCGACCAATAAGAGTTCCTCAGCTACAACCCTGACATGTATTGCAACGCCTCTAGCCTCTAGTGAGTTTAAGAACACATACAGCTCCCTCAATAGTTTTGGACTTTTGTACTTTTTACAGAAGAGACAAGATTCTGTTTAAATAAAGATAGCCGGAGAATTCGTGTTCAGTGAGAGTGAACAAGAGCCCCACAACTAGCTCATGCCTGTCCCATACTTCTTTTGGCTGGTGGCAGTGTTATGTTTTGGGCACGTGGGCGCGTGAAATTGGTGGCTATTGACGGGACTCTAACAGGACAAAGGTACATAACACGGATTTTAGAACCTTATGGCCTGAGAATATGGCTAGAAGCTGTAGGTGAAAATTTTGTATTTATGGATGATATCGCATGTCCACATAGGACTCAAGCGGTTAATGACTACATTGAGACATAAGATATTCGCCGTTTGGAGTGACCTGCGATGTCTCTAGACATAAACGCCATTGAACAGGCATGGGACGTGCTCTCCAGAGCTGTTCATGTTCGAAGGAATCCTCCTAGAACC